TATATATATATATATATATATTCTTTTAACCAACTGACGGATACACATATATTCTATATATACTTTTAACCACGGCCTTTACCTCCTCTTTAGACCTAAACTTCAGTCCTACCTCAAGCATGGGATCCACCATATCTACTTCACCATTAAATTTTGCGTATGTAACAACTTCGTCACTATCAGAATGAACGTTTCGAAGGTCATCTGAGAGTGCATATTCAGAATTGTCAGGTCATTTGCTGCTTCCAACGACACTATCTAATTCCTTCCTCATATCGAGTTCAATATTCTGGGTAACATTTTCCTTAAAGAGAACGTCGTCTTCTTCACCAATGCTATAATTGGAATCATTGAAGGTGATGTCTTCTTTTATCCGAACCATTGTTCAAATAATCTAGACAATAGGAGATTATAAATTTGCTCAACTGATAGTATAGTGAAAAATAAAAATCTGTAGGAATCTCAATAGTTTCTGCAATTTACTGCACAAACGTTTCAAAGCAAGAAAAAGACCCAACTAATGTAAAACTCACGTGAACTGACAATGAAATTAATGGAAACTTATGCCATTTCAACACAAAAGACCCAATTAATGTAGCCCCAAAATTTGTCCAAAGTTACTTTTTCGAACAATATAGACACAAAATAATAATAATAATAAATAAATAAATAATTTAAAAAAGAAGTGTTAACCTTCATCTTGATACTCCACATCCGACATGTCGAATAAATTTTAGACGATTGTGGTCTCCACTATTTGATTTTCGCAGAAAAAATTGCAGAAATATGTATTGTCTTGTGCAGTTTGAAGGGAGGATTTGAGGATTTGGGTTCTTGATTGGAAGCTCACCTGGGGATTGAGAACAAGTTATTGGATGATTAGGGCATGATTTTCTCCCAAATTTCTGCCATTATTGTTCCTCCACCATTTCTGAAGTTTATGTTTGGGTTTGGGGGGTTTTAAGGTTTGAAATTTGCACTTAAGGTCCTTAAGGTTCTATGTTCACTTGTTTTGGTCCTTTAAGTTTAAATTAAAATCATAATGGTTTTAATGGTGACCGTTTCTGCAAGTTTGTAAACTTCAGTAACCCGTTAGTGAAAGCACTCGTAAGTTAAGTGACCGTTTCTGTAAGTTTGTAACTTTAGTGACCGTTTTGTAATTTTTAGGTAAGTTCAGTGACTGTTTGTAAAATTTACCCTTTCTTCTTTACTTGAAACTCTGAGTTAGATGTGCTTACAGATTGCAACAGCTAAGAAATCTATGACGTGAGTTTGCTGCTGTAAATCTTAGAACTGACCATTTATGTAGTCAAGGATTACTTGGAAAGTTTTACACAGCATTTCAAAAATGCTACACATGGTAAGTTTCACCGAACAATTTCAGATGACACAGAAAGGTGCACAAATAAGTTTGTGCTTGACGGGTTCCTATTTTTGCAGTACATGAATCATATAATAAGGAATTTAAGATTTTTTGCGTTCTAATATTTTATTCTATGATTTGCCAAACATAGACTTAATTTGTTTCCTGACTTCCAAATAGCTTCATTTATTGCTTTTAGTTTGTTGATCCTGTGCTTGTATGTATTTGCAGGATGATCATAACTGATGTACTGGGTGGAGACGTTCAATTTGATTTCTACCTTCGGTGGTTTGATGCAATCTTCGCAGCCAGTGCATTTCTCTCTGTGCTTTTGCTTTCTGCACATTACACGTCTCGTCATGCTGATAAACATCCAATAGATTGATTTGTTTACATGTAAGTGTTTGAAACAGCTCAAAATAGGTTTTTTTGTGGTATATATATTTTTTTATTTTTTATTTTGTGTATTCAAGTTGACTTGTGTCATATGTACTTCTTCTGGAATTGATGGCTGAGTATTGCAGATTATATACATTTTATGTTCTTTGTGGAGGAGATATTTGTTTAGGGAGTTCAAATTTAGTTAAAATCATTACATCTTTGAAGCATAATGTGTCAATTTACATCTTTGAAGTGCAATGCATCATTTTTAGCTGCGCAGTACCTGATTGGGTTTTCGTATAGCTGCCGGTGGCACGTGCTATTCTGGCCATGTGCATGAAAAAGGCCTGCTTTTGTTAAGTATGTTCATTTCTTAGTGCGTATATTCAATATCTGGCTGCTGCTCAAGTTGCTAGACAAAACGAGTGTGATGCCATTAGACATAGATAGTTACATTAGCGTGTCATATTTGCATTCTAAAGAGTCTCTGAAATAGGCCCCTCTTTCAGTTGAGTTACTTTTACAAATTGGTTTGGTTACACGCTAGACTCTGTGCATTGTCTGTCTGATTCTTAACCTTGTGATAGTTACATTAGCGTGTCATATTTGCATTCTAAAGAGTCTCTGAAATAGGCCCCTCTTTCAGTTGAGTTACTTTTACAAATTGGTTTGGTTACACGCTAGACTCTGTGCATTGTCTGTCTGATTCTTAACCTTGTGAATAATGTTTTTCACAGGAAACCAGGGCTTGTATGACGATAGATATACGTCCAATGCAACGAAAGGTGAGCATTTTCTGTTTTATTCTTAAAGACTATATGGCTTCCATGTGTTTCTGTCAAATTTGTGTGTAATGCTGTTTAATTTCGGAAGAATTACATCACCAAAACCTGGAAAAGGAATTGAGAATTTAATCAACAATTTGTTTCTGACTTCAGGAATATCGTGTGGAGAAAATTTGATAAAGAGATTGACGAATAAAGTAGATGCTCCTTGAGCTGTGCTAGTAATCAATTTGAGCAAAATCATGAAGGTACATTGAATGAACCATGTATAATGTATCTACTAAGAAATACAATATTGTAGGAGTAACAATCTATTCGAGTCGATTCGATTTTATTTTTGTAGAATATAATGGATTCAATTCTGTGGTATTTGTTTCTCCAATTGTTTAGCTAATTACAAGTTTCATTTTTGCTTGTTGCCTCTTAAAAGACTTGACCCATAGGTGAAAGAATGAATGATTATGGAGACTAGTTATAAAAATGTGCGTCTCACGTTGTATGGTACAATAGAAGTATTTATATTTTGATTTTTATATACTAATTCTTGAAAATTTTAAACAAATTAGAGAGATTATATGGTACTATTAGAAATAAGAGTATATAACTTGGAAAAAAAAAATGAACATTTTAATAATCCCTGTTTTACGATTCTTAAAAAGAGTTTTTTTTTTTTTTTTTTTTTTTTTTAAGGGAAAATGGATTTTGGAATAGATGTTTTTTGGAGAATGTATGGTTAAATAGTTAAAAAAAAATAAAATTATTTACGTGTAAAATATTTTATTTTAAGAATGTGTGATAAAAAAATATGTTAAAAAAAAGGTATCGTTTTAATGGGTGTCGAATGTGGGCAGGTTGTAATGCAAACATGAGTGTAGCAAACCACATGTATGATCAATCATGTTATGCATTCAAACTCAAATTCAGATGGAACATGTGTCGATGCATAATCGATCAGTTTGAAAAATAAAAATAAAAATATTCAATCATTTTTTGATACATCATTCTGTATCTTTACTTCCCTATTTTTAATCCTAAACAAGTGACTTTATTTCATGTATGATTAAAAAATAAAGGGTAAATGACAGAAGACACCCCCAATTTTTAGTTTCATTTGTACTTTGGTTTCTACTTTTATTTATGGATGAGTGCGTTCTCAACCTTTGGAAAATTAGCTGAATTTCGTTAGTGGACACAGTTGACCAATATAGTAAAAAATTAAACAGGGCAATATAGTCAATTTATTAATCTAAATTAAGATATTTAAATAATTCAGAAAAAATAAAGAATGAAAAAGAAAAGAATCGAATACAGGAAACACAAAACAAAACCTCAACCATCTTCTTTCTACCAAAATAAAGGCAAATGAACTAAAGATAGGGATGTTTGCTTGTGTTTACCTAAATATAAAATATAGACCGTAAATTATTCGTATTCTCTTTTATGATAACGAAATCAAGTTTATGGTATGTAGCAAGTACTCGTAAAATCTACAGAATACAATCGAGAGTCATTAATTTTAATATAGTTTATTTTTATAATTAGATTCATTAGTATTCGTTTTAGTTCGATTTTGACCATCCCGAATTTTCATCTTCACTCCAAATTCCTCTACATCTTGATATGTCATCATAATTAACTTGAACCTAATTCATATAATTAATTTTAATTAAAACTAGACCATATTGATTGTGAATAGAATTATTTTATACAATCCAAGTTTATAAAGGGTAATTTGAAAATTCATATTTATTGAAAAAGTAAGATACTTCACACAAATTTTTTATCAATAACACGAAATTTTGTAATGTTTGTTGTATGGATATTGAATGAATTGTGCAATTAAAAATTAATTATAATTTTTTAACAACTTTAAAGCTTTTCCAAGCACCAAATTTTGGGGTAAATCATATAATTGAATTTTAAATAATAAATTCTTAATAAAATTTTAGATATGGTGGAGCAGAGCGAAAATAATGGATCCATCGAATGTTGATGAAAGTTCGTGGCGATTCTCATGAATAAATACAAGTTTCTTTATATTGATTTCTAGTGTGATTTGGTAAAAAATTTACGGATTTCAGGTTTTGAGCGATACTGTTGTTTGTTTCAATAGTTTGGTGGAGTAATTAGGTTTTCTTGCTTGCCTGGTTCAGTCCAAATTCCGAATGGATAATAAGAATACAATCGTTTTTAAAACTTTAGCAAATTTTCAAGGAGTTAGGCATCAACAGACCATAGAGACGTCTGTTCTGAAGGTGGGTTTAAGCTATCTTGGATCTTTTACCTCCACCATTTCTTTCTGCTGGTGGTTGGAACTAAAACTATGCTCAATGCTCATGGATCATTTTTGATGAATTATACCACAATTTTTTGTTCATTTTTCATTAATGTTGCTTTAGTCCACTAGTATTTCCCCGATTTCATGATTTGCATCTTGTTTTATGAAGTTGACATTTCTTTCTGATGATTGAAGACGCAATGGTTTTACAAGAATGACTTTTGAGGCCTAATGATCAATTGTTGCCATTGTGTTGTAATAACGTTTTAGGCTTATTAATCAGTTGAATGCAATAAACGAATTGATACAGAAATACTAATCAACATATAACATATAAAGGCTTGGGCTGCTGCTCATGAAACTCCCAAGTCTTATAATAATATGTTTCTGAAATTTTGTTGGTTTAATTGTTCATATCTCAAGACATTTTTTTTTTCAACTTTTAATCATCAATGGCGATTGCATGAGTCCTATAGCATGTGCCTCATACCCTGGGATAAAAGAGTTGTGTTGCATATTCCAGTCTGGCCATCTTTTGTTGTCATCGCGTATGCTGAGTTTTGGCCTGCACTTGTGTTTTGTCTATTTAAACTTATATTTTCTCATTGAATTCAATAAAAAAGAAATGACACGGTGATTCCCTAGTAATTTTGTCCATTACAATAATGATAGTCACTCTGCTGGTCCTTTAGTATTAGGACATCAAGAAACTTGCAAAACCCAGGTTTCTACCTCTTAACCTTCTGTTTTCATATTGTGCACTTAAACCCGGAAAAAAGTTATCTGATGTAGAAACTGATGTTGTTTGTGATAATCCACCTAATGATGCTCTGAATTCCGTCAACAAGAATGAAGATATGGAGGTGGAAGTCTATCCCGACTCTGATGTGGAAGACCCTGATGTGAGTAATAATTTTTGCTTGCTTATTCTAGTTACTAGATAGAACACTTATAAATTCTATGTTATTATTGCTGATTCATGTCATGTTATAGGTAAGAATAAATATTATATATAGAACTAGATTTACACCTGTGCTTGCGTGAATCGCTTCATAGTTAGTAGTCCTTTGATTAAGGGTACTTACTTTTCTGGCAGGAACAATTAGAAGATGGCTTTTTAGCATTATCTATTCTGTGGATTTTTTTGTGTGCTTGCTGTTTTTCTGTAGTTGAGATTTCCTTGAATATTTATGAATTCTTCGTGGATTTATTGGTGATTGAAGGTCAAAGTTTGTGGTATCTGTGGTGATGAAGGGCGGAAGGATTTGCTCGTTATCTGTTCTCGTTGTAGTGATTGGGCAGAACATACGTGAGCCTTGAATCTTTAGTCTTATCTGTGCAATATGATTCTGTCTTTCTGCATTTTACAACGACATAAACCTATTTGTCTCGTCTCAGTTATTGCATGCTAAAAGTGCCGACTAAAGTGCCAAAGGGCAACTGGGTGTGTTTAGAATGCAAAGTGGAGGAGAAATCGAGTAATCAGAGGCAAGATAAAATTGGAAGGATAGATGGAAATGTGAAAAAACAACTCCTGTAAGCCTCTGATATGTCGACTGGATAGGAATGTGTTTGTTCTTGTTAATTTGATGAAGAATTAAGTTGTATTGGAGATATTTGCTTCTTTTCTGGAACTGTGATTATTGTGGATGAAAATCCAAAGGGTTTAGTAATTTTAGTTTAAATCATGAAAGACTAGACAGTTCTTCAGTGGATTGTTAACAGTTTCTTGTTCTTAGAATAAACACGTGATGACTATGCCAATTGTAGCAGAATTGATCTTCAATCGGTTGAATCCGAGCTTAGTTTCAACTTACCAATATCAAACCACAATCAATTAATGGCTCCAACCCACAATTACTTCTATCACTTTGGTTGCCGCCACTTCTAATGTACCCACAAGGAACACAATTATGGTGTTGCTTGCAAAGCTACAAAGGCAAAGAGAGAACAAGAGGCAAAGGTACGAAGAATAAGAAGATAGAAGCAGACCATCTAGTGATGGCAATGGGCTGAGTTGGCCTTTAACCCACGAGCTCGGCTCTGGCTCGTGGTGAGCCGAGCTCGTGGCTCGTGAAAGATGTGAGACCACGAGCTCGCGGGCCTAGCCGAGCTCACGAGCCTCTTGTCAGCTCGTGATTTTTTTAATTTTTTTTTTGGTAAATTTGCATATTTTTGACCTTTTTTTTTTCATTTTATAAATTTGCATTTTTTTTACGAGCCCACGAGCCGTCAAAAATGGCTCATGGGCACACGGCCCACGAGCTTGATGAGCCGAGCGGCTCATGGGATTGAGCCCCTGCTCGGCTCCCGAGCCTCCCACGAGTCGAGTGGCAAAGCCGACGAGTCACGTGGCCTGTTTGACATCCCTATGACCATCCAAGAGTTATAGTGTTCATGACATAACTAATTAAATTGCTTCTGATGGCTCGAGTTGTACTTGGGTTGAGCCTATAAATTGATTGGGTTGATAGTTATTTTACTTATTGGTCGAGACCTATGAAATATAATCCAAACTATTTAATATAATTGTTTGGGATTTATTGGATGTCAAACAACACCCATTTCTTGTTCCATTGATTTCTTTACCGTGATTTATGACTATATTATTTTTCGTGACGAACAATATAGCTAATTACTTCCATTCATGTTTTAATTGATTATTTTGGATTTTTCTTGTATAAAATGTTTTGAATTGGCTTGATCGAGTTATTTTCATGTTTGATAAGGAGAGTTAAATAACATAATATTTATTTACAGATATCTTAGAAAACTCAATCTTGCTTTTTCATTGATTTGTTACTAAATCGAGAGGGTTTTACTTGCTCATGTGGTTATCTTAATAAAATATCTATTTGTAATATTTATTTTATGCATATACGAATGATTAGATCATCTACCCAATCAAATATTGTATATATTTTTTTTAGGTAAATCATATAATTGATTTTTTTTATAAAATTATAGCCAATAGTTCGTTAACAAATTCAGTATTTTTTTTGGTTGTTACTTTGAATAAGCCAAATTCAATAATTAAGACCTCTATTAACTAAAGTTTTAAATTATTTAGGGGGATACGAGGTTAACTCTTATCAACCATTAACTTGATCAGACGAGTTCATGCGAAAAGTATTGTGTCGTTGTTTTCCATGTTTTTCTAGCGTTCATGTGCATAGAAAATTCAATAATCGAGCTTTTATACATGAATTGATATTTTATAGAAAAACATTGAAATGTTCGCTAATTTCGTTTTTTAGAAAAATAAAAAATAGTGGGTTAATTTAAGTGGATGGAGCTGTAGGGGTCCGTCCTTCCAAATTTCTAATTCTTATATAATTAGGAAAATAATCAATCAACTAACTTTAAACTAATATTAAATTTGAGTGGGACCCATCGTTGGAATATGACCAAAGAAATGAACAACCGTAACCTATTCCCATTCCTTAACCTTAATGCAAAATGTGAAATGAAGAAAATGTTGCGGTAAAGTGAAGAAGATTTTTTTTTAAAGGTCAAAATATTCTGATTCCTTTTAAAAATTGATTGACAAATATTTGTTTTTAAAGAATCGTTTGGTATCCATTTTTTTCAAAATATATTTTTTTCTCTTTTTTTCAACCACACATTCTTTATTAAAATAATATTACACGTAAATCAAAAACATTTCTCTATTTTTTAATCACACATTTCTCATCAATTTACTATTCAAAAATGCGTTTTTACATAAAAATAGATTCCAAACACTCCCTAAATCTTATTTACTCCTTGTTTGGTGTGACTTAAAATGTTGATAAAAATTTAAGTCAAAATCAATAATAAATTTCACTACATATTTTTTTTAAAATTCGCAATTTTTATCAATATTTCAATTACGCATTACATTGACTATAATATACTTAAAATCTACTTTTTAAGCTAAACCAAACATGGGTTAAAATCAAATTGACTCGAAGTTTGACGTGAAAGACATGTAATTTGAAAGCATATTTTAATATTTGCACTTAATTCCTTAAAAATTGACCCAAGACATCTCAAACTTCATAAGCCACTAAATTAAACTATTTAGACCTGATTGGTAATAGTTGTTCTTATCTTTTTATCCAAATACTTGCTATAGGCTTAAAATTTGATTTTTTTATTATTATTATTATTATTATTATTATTATTATTATTATTATTAATATTTGCTATGATTATACATTCGAAAGTTATAGTTTCAAATAATCAGTAGCTATTCATCAACTTCGAACACGTGCACGTAGTCTTAGATTTAAGTTCCTGTTTGAGCCCCATTTTTTAGGAAAGAATGAATTTTTGATAGAAAATGTGTGGTTAAAAATAAGAAAAAATTTTGGATTTGCGTGTAATATTAATTTATTGAAGAATGTGCGGTTGAAATGATATCAAAACACTGTTGAATAGGGCTCAAACAAGGGTTAAACTGGCTCAACTCAATCATTTATTTAAGCATTTATTTGGTAAAATTTATAAGTCATTTATAAATTGTTAAACTTCATTTTTAACGTCATATTTTCAAATACTATTCACTTATTCACTAACTCTTTAAATATTAAACTATTTATAAATTATTTTCCATAATTATCGAAATTCGAAGACTTGATGAAGAAAATGAAAGCACGTTAACATCTCTTTGTCTAATATAGTCCAAAACGTGAAATCGTGAAATGTATGCAATTTGTTGATTTTTTATTTTATTTTTTTATTTTTTTCATTTTTCCAGGCAATATTCACGTGGTTTACTTAAACTACTCATGCCCAGTTCATTTTCGCTTGCTCTGTTAGGTTTTATATTTAATATTCTATATTGAGATTTAAAAATTAAAAATTTTAAAACGTGATTTTATATTAATAAGTGGTTGATGACAAAGTTTTATGAGATTTTAATAAAAGTTGATGAAATGCGTGCTTGAAAAATTGTGAATCTCGTAAAAAATAAAACTGAAATTGAAATTTGACAAGTCGAAAGTCCGATAGATTTTTGACAAAATTTACAAAACAAGCATTAGAATCTTTATAGGACATTGTTGGTTGTCGCCACATGACTAGTTGAATCGTATTCGAGTTATATTATTGTTTCATTTTCCTTAGACCATTATATTTTTATGAAGTTAATAGAGATGAACCAATCTTAATTAATCGACGAGTCTTTGCATTAATACATCGTAGGACTATGTTTCATGGAACATTATACTACAAAATTTCTCATAATAATATAGGAAATATTTTCGTATCGCCATTGTTTCAATTGATTATAAGAGTTTATTAAAGACAGTCTGACAACGCGTCAAATGAATTTTACACGCGAGGATGTACATTCTTTATGTAGGTAGTCTCGACGGTCCA